TGGAGTGTTCAGTCCATCAGGTAATTATTGATATGATTGGATTTAGGGATGGGGTTTTTTGCTGTTTGTTTTCTATTTGTTCTTTGTCCTTGTTCTTCTTTTTCTTTCTTGGCTTTTTTTGTATTAGTTTAATATTTTTAGAATTGTATTTTATCCATTGGCCTTCTAAAGCAAAAATATATTGACCTTTTGGAGGGAGGAGTATTGATATGTAGATTATACATTACTTACTGAGGCCGGGCACGGTGGCTCACACTTGCAATCCCAGCATTTTGTGAGGCCAAGGTGGGCAGATCACCTGAGGTCAGGAGTTCGAGACTAGCCTGGCCAATATGGTGAAACCCTGTCTCTACTAAAAATACAAAAATTAGTTGGGTGTGGTGGTGCACACCTGTAATCCCAGCTGTTTGGGAGACTAAGGCAGGAGAATCACTTGAACGTGGGAGGCAGAGACTGCAGTGAGCCAAGATCGCACCTCTGCACTCCAGCCTAGGTGACAAGAGTGAAACTCTGCTTCAAAAAAAAAAAGATCTCTTGCATCCAAGTTGGTTCATTTGCTTCCCCTGTCCTTTATACCAGGGGTCACTAAAGTGTGGCCCCATGGCCATATCTGGCCCACTGCCTATTTTATAAATAAAGGTTTGTTGGAATACAGCCATACTTACTCATTTATGTATTCTCTGTGGCTGCTTTTGCACTATAATGGCAGAGTTAAGTAGTTTCAGCACAAATCATCTATCCCACAAAATCTAAAATATTTCTGAGTTTTTACAGAAGGTATGCTGACCTCTGCTTTATGCAGTAGTTGTCATAGTTTTTACATCTACATCTTATAGCCCCAAATAAGATTTTACTTCAAATAGGTTTTGCTTTTAACACTTCTGTGCATTTTGAGGAAACTAAAATAAAAAATAATATTTTATAATTACTCTCATGTATACCAGTTTGAGAGTCATTTTTTCCTGAAGATCCGAGTTTCCATCTGATTACATTTTCCTTCAGCCTGAAGAACTAACTTTAGTTTGGAGTGCGGGTCGATTGGGGATCAATTCTAGCTTTCTGTTATATGAAATGTCTTTTCTACCTTCATTCTTGAAGGACATTTTTGCAGGATACAGAATTTTAGATTGACGGGTTTTTTTTCTTTTATTAAGGACTTCACTGTCTGCTGGCCTCCATTGTTTCTGTTGAGAAATCAGTGATGGTCATTTGAATTGTTCCCTTGTATTCAATGTGTCATTTTTTCCTGGCTGCTCAATAGTTTCTTCATCTTTGGTTTTCAACCATTTGATATATCCAGGTGTGGTTTTCTTCGTATTAATCCTGCCTGGTGTCTGCAGAGCTTCTTGAATCTGCAAACTTAACACCTTTCACCAGGTTTGGGAAATTTTGGCCATTATTTCTTCAAATATTTTTTCTGCTCCATTCTTTCCTCACTGTCTGCAAATTCAGTTACTTATGTTAGAACTTTTTATTTGTCCCATGTGTTCCTAAGGCCATGTTCACTTTTTTGCAATCTTTTTTTGTGTTCTTTTGATTGCTGATTCCTATTTATCTGCCTCCAACTTCACTGATTGTGTTCCTGTTATCATCATCCTGCTCTGAAGCCCATCTAGTGAGACTTTTGATTTTTTTTTTTTTTTTTTTTTAATAGAGATGGGTTCCCATCATGTTGCCCTGGCTGGTCTCAAACTTCTGGGCTCAAGCGTTCCTCCCACCGAGCAGTGTATGAATGATCGAGTTTCTGTGTCCTCATGAGCATTTAGCGATATCAGTGCTTTTTATTTTTGCCTTTTCAGTAGGTATAGTGATACCTACTACACCTGGCTAATTTTCTTGTTGTCTCTTGGGATTGTTTCCTCCTTAGAATGTCCAGCAGCATTTGTTCAGAAAACTGTCTTTTCTTCACTGAGTTGCTTTTGCACCTTTGTCAAAATTCAGTTGATTTGGCCCGGTGCAGCTCAGTGGATAACTTGAGGTCAGGAGTTCCAGACGAGCCTGGCCAACAGGGCAAAACCCCATCTCTACTAAAACGACAAAAATTATCCAGGCATGGTGGCGCATGCCTGTAGGCCCAGCTACTCAGGAGGTTGAGGCAGGAGAATCGCTTGAACCCAGGAGGCTGAGGTTGCAGTGAGCTAAGATCGCACCATTGCATTCTAGCCTGGGCAACAAGAGCGAGACTCCATCTCAAAAAAAAAAAAATTCATTTGGTCATATTTATGTGAGTCTGTTTCTGGGTTCTCTTTTCAATTCCATTGATCCATGTGTCTGTCTGTCCCTCTCTAATACTGCCCTGTCTTGATAACTACATAAACTCCAGTATCAGCTGGTGATTCCTTCCACTTTATTCCTCTTTCAAGATTGTTTTAGCTATTGTAGCAGCTTTTCTTTGCCTGTATCTTTTTATGTAAATTTTAAAATAAGCTTATGTATGTCTATAAAAACCTTGTTGCGATTTTGATAGGAATTTCATTAAACTTACAGATCATTTTGAATCAGCATCTTTACCACATTGAGTCTTCCATGAACATGACATTTCTTTCTATTAATTTAGATGGTCTTTAATTTTTCATAAACATTTTGTAATTTTCAGTATATAGATCCTATATATGTTTTTTTAAGCTTATGCCTAAGTATTTCTGTTTATTTGAATGATTCATTTTTTCTTAAGAATGGGTCATGTTTTGCTTCTTTACAAAGCAATTGCTTAATTTTGGATATATTCTGGACGTCATGAATAAGTTGTAGAAACTTTAGATTCAAGTCCGGCGTGGTGGTACGCCTGTAGTCCTAGCTACTTGGGAGGCTGAGACAGGAGGATTGCTTCAGCTCAGGAGTTTGAGACCAGCCTGTGCAACACAGGAAGACCCCTATCTCCCCGCAAAAAAGAAACTCTAGATTCTGTTCTTCTGCTCCTCCAAAGAGTACTGTGTTGTTTAACAGGGAGTTTACTTCATACACTGTGTTTGCGTCCCTAGCCCCACATTTGCTAGGTTTGTTTATTCTCCAGGGTCTGTGGTTGCTTTTAGTATATTTTGGTCAGTGTTTGTAGTTGTTATCCATGGAAGAATTGAATCAAAAGGCACTTACTTAGTATTTTGTGGTGATTCATTTTCAGGTTGCCCAGTCTGCCATATTGCTAGAAAATTAAGTTTTATTACACTTATAATAAGGGGGAAAAGATCCATTTCTTCTATGTTGGGAAATGGTTGTGGTTGAAAAATGCAAGGGTTTTGGAGTCAGATCGGTTATGAATTTTGGCTTTACTACCTGCTAGTTATGTGACACTGGTTGTTTTATTTAACCTTTTTTATTTTATCTCTAAAATGGGGATTAAAAACACCAATATGGAATGTTTGTAAGATCTGAGCTAGCCGCACTCTGCCTGAGCGATACACGTATTTCTCTGACAACAGGTGAGGCTTTGTCCCACGGGGTCCATTTTGTTTAATTTACTGGAACCTAGGAATGAATATGCATTTTCCTTGACGTTTGTCAGATTCATCCCTGAGAGGTCGGAGATTTAAAGAAAAAAATCTATTACTGGATCATGCAAATGTTTGAAATCATTTTAAAAAATCATTTATTTTTCCTTTTATAGGAATCACCTCCTCATGTAGAAAATTACTGTCTACCAGAAGCTATTTCATTTCTTCAGAATAATAAGGAACTTGGGACTGGATTATCACAAAAGAGGAAAGCTCCTACAGAAAAAAATAAAATGAAACGACCTAGAGTACACTAATCGCATCTACTCTTTAGTTACCAAACATTAAATGTTTTTAAAAATTGAAAGCCTGAATGTGACTGTGGCGGATTTGGGTCGTAGTTTAAGGATGAGTGCCTGAAGGCTTCCGCCTCAGAGTATAATGATGACCCTTCTTGAGTTTTGAACACCTGAAATTTTAATCACTGCAATATTAACTGTTTCTTAATAAAAAAGTTACCCGAAATAACAACAAAGTACAGCTCCTCAGCTAGCTTGCTGTTAAACCACATTGAAGTATCTTAGAAGGTATTTATTTTTCTTGTAAATATCTGAAGCTGTAGCTTAGTGGAAATTTTAGCAAGGTGATGGATTTTGCTTTAGAAAGTCTGCCTTACAAATTCATAACAACAAGATTTGTCAATCAGCATTTATTCATGTTTTCCCTGATTTTTATCTTCTCACCATTTTACCTCTTTTAACAGGAGCCTGAGCACAAGGTTTAGTGAAGAAGCTGGGGCTATAATGTGTGTGTATATATGTGTATGTATGTTTGTACAGATCTCCATGATGTTTGCCAAGTTTGGGTGCCAAAACTTGGAAAATGTGATAATAAAGAATAAAAGTAGTGACTCAAATTAGTATTAAGATGTGTTTACATAGATGAATTTTTTAAAAGAGCACCCTGGCATCTATTCTTCTGTTGAAGCAACAAAACATTTATGTAACTTAACTTAAAAAATGAATTGCAGGGGGCTGGGGGCTGGGTGCTGGGTGCGGCGGCTCACGCCTGTGATCCCAGCACTTTGGAAGGCTGAGGCAGGCGGATCACCTGAGGTCAGGAGTTTGAAACCAGCCTGACCAACATGGAGAAACCCTGTCTCTACTAAAAATACAAAAAATTAGCCAGGTGTGGTGGCGCATGCCTGTAATCCCAGCTACTTGGGAGGCTGCGGCAGGAGAATCGCTTGAACCTGGGAGGTGGAGGTTGCGGTGAGCTGAGATCCATTGCACTCCAGCCTAGGCAACAAGAATAAAACTCCGTCTCAAAGAAGAAAAAAAAAAAAATTGCAGGCCAGGCACGGTGGCTCATGCCTGTAATCCTACCACTTTGGGAGGCCAAGGTGGGTGGATTGCTTGAACCTGGGAGTTTAAGACCAGCCTGGACAACATGGCGAAACCTCATCTGTACAAAAAATAGCAAAAAATCAGTCGGGCATGGTGTCTGATGCCTGTAGTCCCAGCTACTTGGGGCATGAGAATTACTTGAATTTAGGAGGCAGAGGTTGCAGTGAGCCAAAATCATGCCACTGCAACTGCAGCCTGGGTGACAGAATGAGACCCTGTCTCAAAAAAATAAATGAATTGCTTGTTAACATTTCTGATGTTTGTTGTTTAGAATATTGCCCCATTAGATTAAAACATAATGTTATTGGAACTCTGTATTGCATTAGCCTTTATTATGCTAAACCTAAACACCTAATACTACATGCATTAACAGAATTCTCTATAAATACACCTAATTTCATTTGAAGGACAAACTAGAATCCGTTAGGAATGTAATTTTGATGTAAACTGTTCAATTCCAAATGACTTTTTGAAAGGCAGATTCAAATAGTGAAGGAGAGAGCGCCCAACTTGGACACAAAATCCCTTAAATTTTCATCAGATTTTCTTCAAAATGGAGTAGAGGGTATCCCTGTTGCTAGAGGATTGGTCCTTCAGAGTTTTCAGCTTTGAGCTAGTTCACAGCTTAGGACAATACAAATTCTGCACAGAGAAATAGGTAGCATTATGGTGTAAACTGTCTCCCTCCCACCAAACAAAACCACATAGGCGTCTTTATCAGAACTATTTTATTTTAGCTGAATCATTTTGTGGATATATAGTATGTTTCCCTGAATTTTATTACTCAGAATTCTTTGAAATAGGCCAGGTGCAATGGCTCACGCTTGTAATCCCAGTACTTTGGGAGACCAAGTTGGACAGATCACTTGAGGTCAGGAGTTTGAGACCAGCCTGGCCAACATGGCGAAACCCCATCTCTGCTAAAAATACAAAAATTAGGCAGGTGTGCTAGCACATGCCTGTAATCCCAGCTATGCAGGAGGCGGAGGCAGGAGAATCACTTGAACCAGGAGGTGGAGGTTGCAGTGAGCTGAGATCACACCACTGCACTCTAGCCTGGGTGACAGAGAGAGAGACTCCATCTCAAAAAAATAAATAAATTCTTTGAAATAGTTTTTAAATTACCTAATCTACCACTTTCTTTTCTGCCAAAATTATGGTTTTCCAGTTCAAACTTAGACACAGTTACCATTTAAGGCTCCAGGTCTCAGTTTCTCCTCCTGACTTTCCAGCATCTGCCTATACCCTGTATAAGCCACTTGAACTCTGGGTTGGCTCTTAATCTGTAAATGTCCTAATGCCAGCAACAATATCCTCTTATATGCAAATAATAACTAATGCCAGCAACAATATCTTATATGCAAATAATACCAAGCATAGGTAGTCGTCTTGTTTAAAAAGGGGAGGGGGCAGAACTTGTCTTAATTAGATTATTCTGAGTTTCTTTTCTGGATTGCTACAGTATTTTAATCTGTGATATTTATCACCTTATATCGCTTCACGAATTTTCATGTGTGTTAGTCTGATCTCACTAACATTCGTTAATTCAGCAAGTAGGAATCCTCAACGTGTGCCTAGGATTCAGCAACAAACCACCTGGAATGCATGGTCTCTTAGAACTTAGATAGGAATCCTTACTGTAAATACAGTACTCAATTATACTCAGATGTAGTATTTACAGTGTTATGGACTGAGCTGTGTCCCCCTAAAATTCACAGGTTAAAGCCTAACCCACTATGTGATTGTAGACAGAGCGTTTATAAGGGGGTTAAATGAGGTCACAAGAATGAGTCCCTAACCCAACAGGACTAGTGTCCTGTTAAGTGACTAGTGTCCTGGTAAGAAGAGGGAGGTACGCCAGGAGTTTGCCTGCACGGAGGAAAAGCCCTGTGAGGACATGGGGAGGGCAGCTATCTGCCTACACACCAGGAAGAAAGGTCTCACCAGATAGCCGCGCTGGCCGTCTCCTTGATTGTGGATTTCCAGCCTCCAGAACTGTGAGAAAATAAATTTCTGTTTAAGCCACTCAGCCTGTGGTGTTTTGTGGCAGCCTGAGCAGACCAGTAACAATATTAACAGTGATAAAAAGTTCTTCCTTTGGGGCCTGAGATGCCTGGGAGTGGAACAGGCTGTTTTGTGTATGAGCATTTTTAGGGTACAGTTCATCATTCTAGAGTTTGGATCTGTGACTTTCCACCCAAAGGTCACAAACCACTGCTGTAATGCAAACCTATTATTTCACAGTTACACCTCTCACCTAGAAGTGCTTTAATACAGGCTGCTTCGTATCAGGGCTTGGTTTCCTTCTGACCCTTCGAGACATAAAAATCATTATTAGCTTGAGGCCATACAAAAATAAGCAGTGGGCCATCGTTGACTGATCCTTATTCTCTATCCCTAAAAAGATTTTAAAATCTAGATCTGTCAACAAGCAAAGCACTCAGCTCTTTGTTTGTTTGTTTGTTTTTGAGACGGAGTCTTGCTCTGTTGCCCAGGCTGGAGTACAGTGGCATGATATCGGCTCACTGCAACCTCTGCCTCCTGGGTCCAAGCCAGCCTCCTGGGCTCAAGCCATTCTCCTGCCTCAGCCTGCTGAGTAGCTGGGACTACAGACACATGCCACCACCCCCAGCTAATTTTTCTATTTTTGTAGAGATGGGGTTTCACCATGTTGGCCAGGCTGGTCTCAAACTTCTGACCTCAAGTGATCTGCCCGCCTCAGCCTCTCAAAGTGCTGGGATTACAGGTGTGAGCCACCACAGCTCCTTTTCTACCATCCTGAGTAGCAGTCTATGGCAGACATACTTGACAACAGTAACTCAGGCATACCCTGGGAAGTGACCCTGTGGTCTAAGAAGAATGTATGTTTGGAGTTCCAAGTTAAGGAATCCAGGAGTGGCCAATCCAGAGGCTCTCCTTATCAGTGAAGGACGTCCATACCCCTGCCCCATTCCTTGGAATGCAGGCTGTATAGGGAATGGTGGCCCTTTGTATTGGATTAAGTGGAAGTTGCTAGGTAGAGGTTGCTAAGTGAAAATATGTTAAACTGCATGCTTTTTAAAAACAGTAGCAATTTATGGATGGGCACGGTGGCTCACGCCTGTAATCCCAGCACTTTGGGAGGCCAACGTGGGTGGATCATGAGGTCAGGAGATCAAGACCATCCTGGCTAACACGGTGAAACCCCCTCTCTACTAAAGATACAAAAAAAAAAAAAAAAAAATTAGCCAGGCGTGGCGGTGTGCACCTGTAGTCCCAGCTGCCAGGGAGGCTGAGGCAGGAGAATGGCATGTACCCAGGAGGCAGAGCTTGCACTGAGCCGAGATTGCACCGCTGCACTCCAGCCTGGGTGACAGAGCAAGATTCCATCTCAAAACAAAAACAAAAACAAAAAACAGCACCAATTTTCCTGTCCAGCCCACTGCGCCTGGACTGCTGTGTAACGTAAGTCCACAATAAACCCTATGTCTCGTTCACTGTCTCCACATCTCTTCTTCAGCCTCCCTCACATGGCGCCATCCCCACTGGAGTCAATAGTCTGGCATGACAAGTAGTAGCCATTATTAAGCAGAGCCATCTCATGCTTGTTTAACATTTAGAAATCTGCAATGAAAATTATCAAGTTTTGGCTCAGTGCGGTGGCTCACACCTCTAATCCTAGCACTTTGGGAGGCCGAGGCGGGCAGACCACTTGAGGTCAGCAGTTCGAGACCAGCCTGGCCAACATGGTGAAACCCTGTCTCTACTAATAATACAAGAAAATTAGCTGACTGGTGGCGGGGGCCTGTAATCCTAGCTACTCAGGAGACTGAGGCAGAATTGCTTGAACCCAAGAGGCCGAGTTTGCGGTGAGCCAAGATTGTGCCACTGCACTCCAGCCTGGGCGACAGAGTGAGACTCCATGTTAACAAAACGAAGACAACTGGGCCGGGTGCAGTGGTTCACGCCTGTAATCCCAGCACTTGGGAGGCTGAGGCAGGTGGATTGCTTAAGCCCAGGAGTTTGAGACCAGCCTGGGCAACAGAGATACCCCATCTCTACAAAAAAATTAATACAAACTTTTAAAAAAGACAACCGGATATGTGGCTCTCACGTGATGCACTAGAAGCACAGAACACAATCTGTGAAGTATTCTTGTCCCTACTGCTAATTAGACTCAAATTTGATTAAGCCTCTAGATCTTATTACCCAGAGTCAGGGAACATTGAGTAAAAACCACACTTGAAAAGGGAAACGTTAAAGAATTGTTAATGAGTAGAAGATAACTACTAAACAGGATTTTTCTAAAATATAAAAGTAGCAAGTGCAGAAAGCAACTACTACCCTAACAGAGTGAAGGGGAAGGAACTCGGACACTTAGAAGAGGACCCCACCCTCTCCTGAGACAGTTAACACCTCAGCAAATGATGTGAAGAAGTGCTGGAGACTACAGGCCTTGGCTGACCTAGAATCTTGCCACTAGGTGGCAGGAAAACTTACCAGGGGGCCCGGGTAGCAGCTGACCACGGGACGCAGTGTTGCAGTGGGGAGAAGCTTGCAGGAGGAGGGTGTGAGGTGCTGCTGAAACATGAGGGCTGCCACATGAACACTTCCAGGCTCTACCACATGCTCACCCACTGGCCACTGGAAAAGAGCACACCAGGAAGGAGAGTCCCTTCTTCCTGCCCTAGCCTTCCGGTGTCTCCACAGTGCCCTCTATTGACAACATAGTCTGTCGATAATGGAGCCAGTGAATGCTGCCCTAGACCTCTGCTACTCTGCGATCCCACCACCCTCACTGAAGTCAGGGTGCCCATTTCAACGGCACAGTTGTGCATGGCCTACAAAGGAGAGCAACCACAGAGATTTCAAGCAGGCAGGAGCTCCCTTCACTAACGTGTTTCTCAAAGTCTTCATTAAGAGAGTGTCTTCTGGGCCATCTCAAGATGTGGTTTGGGAGAGTGCACCCCAGCATTCCTATCTCCCTAAGCCGAATCCTTCCTCCATATCATGCTGTGGAAGCTCCGGCACCCCCAGTTCATTAAACATAGGCCACCTCCAAGTCCACGTTTCAGTCAACCAAGCAAGTAAGCCCTTAGAGCCTTAATGGGCTAATATTTAAATCCAGAATCTTTAACGTGCATCCCTGTGAATGAATTCAGCTCCATCTAGCATTATAGCTGGGATACTACCTGTTTATAGGAAACGTAGAAAAGCAATCAGTTAAATATAGAATGGAAAACAAGCCAAGTGACCAGGCTTCCTCAATAATTGGCAAAAAATTAAAAATAAGGTGAAGAAATTAAGGCTTAGAAAACTAAATGCAATGGGGCAGCCTTGTCCAGATTTTTTTTTTTTGAGATGGAGTTTCACTCTTGTTGCCCAGGCTAGAGTGCAATGGCGCAATCTCAGCTCACTGCAACCTCCGTCTCCCAGGTTCAAGAGATTCTCCTGCCTCAGCCTCCCGAATAGCTGGGATTACAGGCATGTGCCACCACACCCGGCTAATTTTTTTGTATTTTTAGTAGAGACGGGGTTTCTCCATGTTGGTCAGGCTGGTCTCGAACTCCCAACCTCAGGCGATCCGCCCGCCTCGGCCTCTTAATGTGCTGGGATTACAGGCATGAGCCACCACGCCTGGCCTCAGACTTTTTTTTTTTTTTTTTTTAATAAATCAACTGTAAAGTGGCCATGCGAAATCAGAAGCTTTAACACACAGGATATCCTGTATTATAGAAATGCTTTTTAGGTGTGATAATGGTATCTTGATTGTTAAAAGAGCCTTTATCTGTTGGTGAAATGTTTATGGAAGGAGTAGGTCTCAGATTAGATTTAAAATAACCCAGAAAATGTAGAGCATATTCACAGGTAAAATAAGAGACCACAAAGCGATCATTGTTGAAGCTGGGCCAGGGGTTGACGGACATTTACTGTGCTATTTTTTATTGTAAATGAAAATTCTCCTTGTAAAACATTCTTAAACAATAAAAATAAAATAAAATAAAATTCCAACCTCAGCAACTGAAAAAAAGGATAGTACGACTCACCTCAACATGAAGAACTTTCTTGGCCAGGCACGGTGGCTCACGCCTGTAATCCCAGCACTTCGGGAGGCCGAGGCGGGTGGATCACCTGAGGTCAGGAGTTCGAGACCAGCCTGGTCAACATGGCGAAACCCCGTCTCTACTAAAATACAAAAATTAGCTGGGAGTGGTGGCAGGCGCCTGTAGCCCCAGCTACTCGGGAGGCTGAGACAGGAGAAGTGCTTGAACCCGGGAGGTGGAGGTTGCAGTGAGCCGAGATTTTGCCACTGCACTCCAGCCTGGGCGACAGAGGGAGACTCCGTCTCAGGGAGAAAAAAAAAAAAAAGAACTTTCTGCTGCTTTGAGGGGAGACTGAAGAAGTCAGGCTCTGATGCATCCCTGCTGACGTTGGGATGGGAACAGGGCAAAGAGCGTTTTCAAATCATTTTGAAGGAGCATTTGGTTCCCATGTTCCTTCTCTACCCTTACTTAAATCTAAGGAGAAGAGTGGAAGCAAAGCCTCATGGTTAAAAACATGCTGGAGCCGAAACACCTGGGTTGGAGTCCTGGTTCCTTCATTACTAGCTGTGACTCCAGGCAAGCTATTTAACCTTTCAGAACCTATTTTCCCCTATTTAAGGGGCTTTCAGGGTTAAACGAGTCAACATGTGTTACCTGTTTAGAACAATGCCTGGCTCAAGGTTAAAAACTATACAATTTTTAAAAATTCCAGTAAGTGATTTAACACTCTTGCCAGCTGGAGCTAAGGTTTTAAAAAAAGAAGAGGGGCCGGGCGCGGTGGCTTAAGCCTGTAATCCCAGCACTTTGGGAGGCCGAGACGGGCGGATCACGAGGTCAGGAGATCGAGACCACCCTGGCTAACGCGGTGAAACCCGTCTTTACTAAAAAATACAAAAAACTAGCCGGGCGAGGTGGCGGGCGCCTGTAGTCCCAGCTACTGGGGAGGCTGAGGCAGGAGAATGGCGTAAACCCGGGAGGCGGAGCTTGCAGTGAGCTGAGATCTGGCCACTGCACTCCAGCCTGGGCGACAGAGCGAGACTCCGTCTCAAAAAAAAAATAATAATAAATAAATAAAAATAAAAATAATTTAAAAAAATTAAAAAAGAAGAGGATGTCAGGGCAGAACAAAAGAATATAATGGGAGCTTGCAACCTCCTCTTCACCCCCATTACCATGGTGCCACTGAGGTTGGGAGTCCCTGACTTCCTTGTTTAATTCAGGTTCTAATTAAAGACATACATTTGAACTGTAAAATCAGAGAACTCCAGAAAGGAAGCCATAGTAGTCCCAGCAAGTTATAATAAAACCAAAGACAAACCTAAGAGATTCGAATCTGTGCCCACACCTCATTATGAAAAGATGCTTAAGTGTAACCCATATGACCTTTAAAAGGCAGGAACTGGTAAGGTGAGCCACAGACCCAGAGTGTGTAGGTGGCACAAGCTACCCTTGGCTCGAGGTTCTGATTCCTAAATAGATGAGCTATAAGATTCCGCGGCTGAAAAAGCTTATCTCTGGTAAGGTTAATTAATGATGGTTGAATTCATAGTCACCCGGGAGAATAGCAGAATTCTAAAGAAACTCTTAAAACCCAGAGGTGCTATAACTGAGCAACATAATGAAAGGGCAAATTTAAAGTGGCCGGGGTAGTGTAAGGCAGATTAACATTTGCAGTGAGTAAACTCAGGAGTGGTCAGATCTGCTGTCAAGAGACAAGTCAAACAGCATGGAAGTATGTTGGAGAAGGATAACGAGTAGCTACAGAAGTTACATAGATGATGAGGCAGTTATCTAAGAAATGACAGATATTAAAAATGGTCTTTATATATTAATAACGACTGAACTACAAAAATGTGTAGTTTTGTAAAAAATCAAAAACATTTAGTATTTCAGTTGACAAGTCTTTCCCTCCAACTTCAGTATCCACTTTCCCTCATTTAACAGTATCCAAAAATGCATTTAGGAATATGATAATCCTTTCTGGTCTAAGAATGGGATTTCCTACTTGAGCTAGCCCTATGGTTGTCTTCCAACTGCCTATTAGGGAAATAATTTATCATTTTTTGACATAACCCAGTGGTTCCCAGATTTTGCTGCACATTAGAACTGTGGGACTTGAAAAACATTGCTCTGCTCAGGTCACACTCCATACCAATTAATTCAGAATGTCTGGATGTAGGAGTTGGGCATCAGTTTTGTTTTGTTTTGTTTTGTTTTTGAGATGGAGTCTTGATCTGTAGCCCAGGCTGGAGTGCAATGGCACCATCTCATCTCACTGCAAGCTCCGCCTCCCAGGTTTAAGTGATTCTCCTGCCTCAGCCTCCCGAGTAGCTGAGTGCCACGCCCAGCTAATTTTTGTTTTTCGTTTTTTTTTTTTTTTTTGAGGCAGAGTTTTGCTCTTGTTGCCCAGGCTGGAGTGCAATGGCGTCATCTCAGCTTACCACAAGCTCCACCTCCCAGGTTCAACCAGCTCTCCTGCCTCAGCCTCCTGAGTAGCTGGGATTACAGTCATGTGTCATCACGTCTGGCTAATTTTTTGTATTTTTAGTAGAGATGGGGTTTCTCCATGTTGGTTAGGATGGTCTCGAACTCCTGACCTCAGGTGATCCGCCCACCTTGGCCTCCCAAAGTACTGGGATTAAAGGCTTGAGCCATCACGCCCGGCCTAATTTTTGTATTTTTAGTAGAGATGGGGTTTCACCATGTTGGCTAGGCTGGTTTTGAACTCCTGACCTCAGGTGATTCACCCACCTCGGCCTCCCAAAGTGCTGGGATTACAGGCATGAGCCACCATGCCTGGTGGGATTTTTTTGTTTGTTTTTGGTTTTTTTTAAGGATTCCCAGATTATTCCAAAATGCAGCAGTTTGAGAACCATGGACATAATCTTATAGAGTTGCCCCACTTCTTATGATGAAAATTGCGAAAGCTGGGTGCTACTCTCCATCATATTTAGAGATGAACCATTTTACAGAAGTTTCTTGCGTGCTTTGACTGGATCCCTGAATGGTTTGGTTAAGGGATTAAAAAGACTTTTAAAGTCGATGACTTAAATCCTACCCACCATCTGTATTACTATATCCAATTATTTAGAATTCCAGTTCCCACTTGGGCTGCAAATTCAAAAGGATTGAACTGCCTTAATGATTACTTTTACATATATCCTAAATTCCTGATGTGAACATAATTCCTATTTTAGATAATATAAATATGATTATTTAAAGCAATTATTTCTAAGGCCAGGCGTGATGGCTCACGCCTATAATCCCAGCACTTTGAGAGGCCAAGGCAGGCAGATTACTTGAGGTTAGGAGTTCGAGACCAGCCTGGACAACATGATGAAACCCTGTCTCCACTAATACATACGTACATCCACATACATAAAATAGCTGGGCGTGGTGGCATGTGCCTGTAATCCCAGCTACGGGGGAGGCTAAGGCATGAGAATTCCTTGAACCTGGGAGACACAGGTTGTGGTGAGCTGGGATCGCACCACTGCACTCCAGCCTGGGCGAAAGAGTGAAACTGTGTCAAAAAGATAAAATAAGCAATTATTTCTTACTCAATATATCATTCATAATATTCATTATCTTTATTTCAAGCCCAAGAGAAGCAATTCATAACTTGCCTGCATTCTGCAGGCCCCATTAGTACCTAGTTGTAGTAACTGGTGGATTAAAACTATTACAAACCTGCAGTTTCAGGATGCTAGTTATTAGAACAACTGTCCATATGATTTTCTAACTTCTTGGCTCTCCTTCCAATCTGACTACCTCCATTAATTTGTTTCCACTCCCTAACTTGAGATCGTGACCTAATTTGTTCTTTTGTCAGTCTATACACCCATAGCATGACCTGTCCTAAATTCCTACCCCACACGCTCAACCTCCTGACATCTCCACCTATGTGTACCTACCCCAAAACAATTTCACATTATAACAGAGAGAGATAAACAACCAAAATGTGTAGTGTGCTAAATAAAGAGTAAGAACTACAGGCCAGGCATGGTGGTTCATACCTGTAATCCCAGCACTTTGCGAGGCTGAGGTAGGAGGATCACCTGAGTTCAGGAGTTCAAGATTAGCTTGGGCAACACAGCAAGTCCTCATCTCTACTAAAAATAAAAAAAGTTAGCTGGGTGTGGTGGCATGCACTTTAGTCCAAGCTACTTGAGAGGGGACCTCCCCAGCCTCAGTGGGGAGGATCCTTTGAGCCCAGGCCAAGGCTGCGGTGAACTACGATCACGCTACTGCACTCCAGCCTGGGTGATGCTGTCTCAAAAACAACAACACAAAATCCCCCCAAAACTATAAGAGTCTAAACAAACGGTGCTGAACAACTGGATATTCAAATGCTGAAGAATGGAGCTGGAACTCTAAGTCACAATAAAAAAAATTAAAATAGACCAAAGACCTAAATGAAAGAGCTAAAAACATAAAACTCTTAGAAGAAAATAGGCATAAATCTTTATGACTTGGGTTAGGCAATGTTTTCTTAGATATAACACCCAAAGCACAAGCAACTAAAGAATAGGTACGGTGAACTTAATCAAAATTGAAAATTTTGTGCTCCGAAAGACACTTTGAAGAAAGGGAAAAATGGTAGGAGAAAATATTTACAATTTATGTATCTGACAAAGTAGTAGTACCTGAAATTTAAAACACTTGCAACTCAATAATAAAGTTTTAAGTAAACCAATTTAGAAATTGGCAGAGGATTTGAATACACATTTTTCCAAAGACATACAGATGACCAATAAGCACATTTAAAGATGCTCAACACCACTAGTCATTACAGGAATGCAAAATAAAACCATAATGAGATACTTCACAGCCACTTGGAAGGCTAGAACCAATCTGAAACAAGTGATCACAAGGATATTGGAGAAATTGGAATCCTCTGACACTGCTGGTGGGAAAAATAATATATAATATGGTAAGGCTACTTTAGAAGAGTTTGGCAGTTCCTCAGTGATATACGACCCAGCGTTTCATCCCTAAGTATATACCCAAGAGAACTGGAAATGTTGATACAAAAACTTGTACATGAAAGTTCATAGCAACATCATTCATAATAATGAAACAACCCAAATGTCCAACAGATGAACGTACAATTTAAACGTGGTATATCCATACAATTACCTAGGCTGTTTAGCAATAAAAACGAAGCACTGATACACGCTAAGCCTCAAAAACATGCTCAAAAACAAGTTGTAGAAGCCAGTTGCTGAAAAACAAATTGTATAACCCTGTTTATATGAAATGACCAGAATGAGAAAGTCTGGGCCAGGCACGGTGGCTCACGCAGCTCTAATCCCAGCACTTTGGGAGGCCAAAGCGGGTGGATCACCTGAGGTCAGGAGTTTGAGACCAGCCTAGCCAACATGGTGAAACCCCATCTCTACTAAAAATACAAGATTAGCCAGGCGTGGTGGTGGGCGCCTGTAATTCCAGCTACTCGGGGAGGCTGAGGCAGGAGCATCACTGGAACCCGGGAGGCGGAGGTTGCATTGAGCCAAGATTGCGCCACTGCACTCCAGCCTGGGTGACACAGCAAGACTCTGTCTCAAAAAAAAAAAAAAAAAAAAAATCCAGAAAAAAGAAACTAGAGACAATACAATAGTGGCTGCCTAGGACTAAGGAATTTGAGAGAAAGGAAGAAAATGACTAATAACAATAGAATTTCTTTTTGGGGTGATGAAAATGTTCAAGAACTTTAAGAGTGGTGATGGATGCATAACTTTGAGAATATAAGAAAGTCTTAAATTGTATACTTCAAAAGGTGACTTTTGGCCAGGTGTGGTGGCTCCCAAAGTGGCTGTAAAACATTCCAGCACTTTGGGAGGCTGAGGAGGATTGCTTGCGACCAGGAAGCTTGAGACCAGCCTGGGCAACATAGTAAGACCCCATCTCTTAAAAAACAAAATAGTGTTTGGTGGCGCACACAGTAATCCCAGCTACTCAGCAGGCTGAAGATGGAGGATTCCTTGATGCCAGGAGTTGAAGGCTGCAGGGGGCCATCATTGTGACACTGTACTCCAGCACAAGACTCTGTCTCTTGTTTTTGGAAAAGCGTGACTTTTATCTAAAAAGTTAAAACTACAGAGGAAATTAAAGCAGGGAAGACTGAGTTTCTGTGCCTGTTCTACCTTAAATAGGGCTGTCAAAAGAAAAAAATCTCAATCAAGCACAAATAATCAAATAACAAATTGTTAATACTACATATTTAAACTCCATTACCAAAATGACAAATACTTTTGCTAATTTAGAAATCTAGGGACTATAATCCAAAATCCTGAAATTTAAAATTACTGCTCTTTTTGAGAATTTTAAGATTCTCAAGGAACAAAGTCTCAAATCCCTAGTCTATATAAAGATTTTAGATTCCTCTGCCGTAATTTAAGGTAACAAAATTTAATACAGCAACAAGGACAAATGTGTATTTCAAGTTTTCCAAAAATATTTGTCATAGCTTTGTAGCCACTTTCATGCCTCATGTTTTGTATTTTTAAAATTTTGTATTTCTTTTTTTTACTGTCTTTGGTTTGCCTAAATCCTCATCGGTCTTTTTTATGCTTGAGCACTCCCTAAACACTTCTGAAATGGAAAGTACACTACCGGCCAGGCCTGGTGGCTCACACCTGTAATCCCAGCACTTTGGGAGGCCAAGGCAGGTGGACACGAAGTCAGGAGTTCAAGACCAGCCTGGCGAACATGGTGAAACTCCGTCTCTACTAAAAATACAAAAATTAGCTGGTGTGGTGGTGCGTGCCTGTAATCCCAGCTACTGAGGAGGCTGAGGCAGAATCACTTGAACCGGGGAGGCGGAGGATGAAGTGAGCTGAGATCACACCACTGCACTCCAGCCTGGGTGACAGAGCGAGACTGTCTCAAACAAAAAAACAAAAAAACAAAAAAAAAAGAAAAAAAAGTACACTCCTGAGTTTAGAGCATCTTCACTTTCCCACAGCGAGAGGTATGACCTCAACTCACCATTTTCAAAGACAAAATAAGGCTTTAAAATAATCATTACAGTCCAAAATCCATATATTTACTTTTTATTGAATTTGTTAATGTTACAGAGTTCTTGCACTGCCAAACCATGCCTGAGAATTCAAACAAATGGTACAATGGACAGCCTCATCCACCCATCATACAGTATATTAAAACTTGATTCATGTACATTTTGATATTTTCACAATCTTTTAAAAAGTTTTAACAAGAGTTGTAATTTAAATCTGCTGCAGGTCTTCAGATTTCGAGTACAGTATGCCTTTACATAACACCTCCACTTACTCATCTCTGTTCATTCTTCGGTAACACAACCCCCAACAAAATTTTGTGGGGAAAAAAATGCAGGGAAAATACACAGTTCAACGATGAAGAGCCTATTTTTTAAGGTTTTTCATTCCCAAAGAGTCTTCAGTTTACCAAGAATCCCATTTCTGATTTAATCATTCAACTTCCCCTTGGCTGGCTCAACTACTCACCCAAATAGATTAGAAGGCAGGCATCCTGCCTGCCACCTCAAATGTCAACATTATTGCCCAGATGTGAGTGGCAGGTCCCGTCAGGAGATACTGTAACCCTCCTTGGAGTCCAATTCCTGCACGGACACTTTCATCAAGACTAAACTCCTATCTGAAAATGCTCCCACATCAAAATAGTTTTACTCACCCACTTGCTTCACTCTTGCCAATAGCAAGTCTGCAACTCATGCATTTGGCAAAGGGATTTATTATAGAGAAACCCGGACTCTGCATCAAGTGGTCACATTACCACTTTCAGATATTTCTATTGAACCAAAGATACAAAACTAGGAAACTGCCAGACCATCTTGTTAGGTGGACACTCTTCCGCAATCCTGGGTGGCTTCCTCAAGTCCGTCTAAAGGACCTCAAACTATTAATAGGTATTTGAAGCTGTAATTATTAAAAACAGAAGTGCTACATCACCTGTCTTTCGCCCTGACTCTCCAAATGAACATAAAGACACACCAAAAGGTTGAAAACAGAGCTAGCTGGGATAATCACTGCATCTATAGAACAGCCAATACCTTGAAAAACTGGGCACAAGTACATGAGGAATTCTTATCAAAGATCATGCACAATCCATGACACTTAAATGGATTTTAGCTGAGGTTTTGCTCATGTTGCTCTGAATTTGTAAGGACAGATCAGTGAACCCCTTAGCCTGAGCAGAAAGCATTTTCTTCCCACTGCAGTTTACGACACAATTTAGGCCTGATTAGAAGAGGCATTAGCAGCACCTGAAGTAGAGCCTCCAGAATCCACTGCCCTTTACATCAAAGGCTATTTGGTTCCACCCTCAGGACTGGCATACTCACGAAGACATTTCACAATCCTAATGCATACTTTAGGTTACTTACTTAACCAAGCAATATGCTCTGTCAAAGAACTTATTTCAAGTCAAAGCAAAAAAAGTCTTAATGCAGAACAAAAACAAAACAAAAAAGCACTATCCAAATAAAAAAAAATTACCAAAAAAAAAAAAAGATTATTCTCTCCCTTACCCCTTCCCCTACTTGGTGGACCCCAGTTTGGTTGAATTTATTTTGTGGTTACCTCAGAATACAATTAAAGTTTAAATTACAAATCACAGCCCTACACAGATGATCTGAACACATCAGTTCTTTTCAGCGGCGTGTTCCAGGAAGTATAATATAGCCACAGCCTACTACATAGAGTATTCCTTAAGGGTAGGGCACAGGACAGGTTAATTAAGGTCACTTAAATCTTCATCTTTTACAGCAGATCAGAACCCAGATGGCTGACTTTTTATGCAGGATTTCTGGTAAGAATCCAGTAGAGCTGGTTGCAAGGTTCACATCGACACTTAATAGTTGTAATCTTCTTATCCAGAAGTTGTGATCCACATGAAGTCCACAATGAGTGCAGCAAATCTGAGGTAGTCAACCCTTATGAAGGCTCAGTATCTGAACATAAAAAGATTTTGAAATGACCACTGGCTGCAGGTTTTGGTTTTTTGTATTTGCAGAGTAAATATGAAAGAACACTGTTGAAACTAGTTCACACATTTATATAACAATGAAAATTCCCCTAAATCCAATAAGTATAGAGCAGTCGCGACACTTTAACTTCCATAGTGCAATAGGGCCGGTCAGGAAATTGAGTGGTCTGCATCGGTGTCTGTAGGTCCAGCAGAGATCAGATGATGACTGACTGTTGGTGGTGGTTAGCTGCAGTCTAGTTACCTCAGAAGGGTTAGCAAAGCCCATTCCTTAATTGTATTGTGAGTGGCTGCTTTTCTGATTTTCAAGCACAGCATACTGGTTGTCTAGCTGAAGTTTAAGGGCCTGGTTTTTTGAAACCTCATCCCTACCTCTATTTTTGTGTCTTACTACTTCAAAGCTCTTCTCCATTTCTTTATCCCTAAGGGAAAAGAAATGTAATCAGTAAATATTTTTTCTTCACTAGGGTTTTTGAAAATACTCGTCCTTGAATTTAAAAAAAAAGCCACCCCTTAGAAGAATCCTGGGGAGGGGTAGGAGTGGGCATATATAAAATCCTTATCAAACCATTTTAAGGCTTCAATTTGAACAGAAAACACAGAACGCTGTACTGAAGCTCTAGGGTCCTATCTTCTACTAAATAGTATTAAATGTGACCCTATTTCAGGACAAACTTGAAGAAAACTGTTAAAAGCTGTGTGATGACATTCCTCCTAAGACTTTCACTTTTAGCAAGTAATAGATAATACATCTCTCTCTTTATGCACAAGGGTAACAATTTTCTCATTCAAGTAAATTCTACTCGTTAGTCAATGATTTCTCCTCACATCAATTTTGTGGGAGTGGATCTGATTAGATCAGGTAAAGAAACTTGAGTGTGGTGAATCACTGCCCTCCCAAAGGTCCCTTATACATTTTTTAAGACAGAGCAGAGGAGCAAGTCCACGTGGAGGTTTAAATTCAAGCCAGCTGTGCTCTCAAAGTGGCGAAAAGGCTGGGATTTATTCTAAAAGCCACCCCAAAAAACATTTCCATCTGATGTCTTTTACATTTCTTCCCATTTTATTTTAAAAAATTCATGTCCCTAAGTAAGATGTAGTTGTGCCATATGTAGTCATTTAATTCCAGGTAGCATTCATTTTAAGTACCTGCTGAAATAAGATTATTTTAATATTAGATTTATAAATGCCAACATCTTCTGTCTACAGTCACATTAACTGGGGAATATAATTACACAGCGTTTTTATATTTCTAGTTTCCATATTATAAGGAGCAAAAGCCACTCAATTATAAAAGAATTTTAACTACATTAAAACTTGTCATTGCTATAAAACAACATAAACCAGGGCTAAGAGGAACTTTTGCAGACAGAAGACAAAGTCAGTCTCCAATGCTCTTTGCCCTCCCCCTTTCCTCCCTTCTAGGTATATAAAGTTCCGTCCTGACTCTTAGCTGCCTGTCAGCTGAAGCTCAGGCTTCATTAGTTAGGGAATAGTCTCCCTTGGGTGGGTATGCCCTATATCCCACTCCCTGGCCGAGGAACAGAAGCCCTAAACAAAATGCAATTACTTATAGTACTTACTTCCGGCTTTCTACGTGCTTGGCAGTTGACTGCAGGGATGGGAACTGTGTATCGCTGTAGATTTCTGGTGGTCCTTGTGGTGTTTTCCTTGTTGTGGTTAACCTGGCCCCAGGAGGCCTATACACACCACTAGTCATTGCCGGTTCTGGGGTTTCTGTAACTAATATTTTAAAACAACTTTTAGATAAGCTATTCAAATGTTCAGCATTTTAATAAGCTATTCTTGCATTCCCAATCATTTAACAATTACAGAAAAAACAATACCAGGGTCTCTGGGTCAGACAACAGAAGGAAAGTTATTTCAGAAAATGTCTAAAGTCAAAACAGGCCAGGTGTGGTGGTTCACACCTGTAATCCCAGCACTCTGGGAGGCTGAGGTGAGTGGATCACCTGGGGTCAGGAGTTCAAGACCAGTTGGGCCAACATGGTGAAACACTGTCTCTACAAAAAATATAAAACTTAGCCGGGCATCACGTGATGGCAGACGCCTGTAATCCCAGCTACTCAGGGGGCTGAGGCAGGAGAATGGCTTGAACCTGGGAGGCAGAGGTTGCAGTGAGCCAATACTGAGCCACTGCACTCCATTGTGGGCAACAGAACAAGACTCTGTCTCTCAAAAAAGAGAAAAGAAAAGTGAAAACATTCTATTTTTCTAGGGTATTATTCTAACTCCTCCTCCATGTACAACTTTAGTCATCTACGTAAATGGTGAGTTCCACAAGCCAAATTACTGGAAGTAGAAAAGGAATCTGCTGGGACTGGATGACTGGTCTCATCAGGGACTGCCTTTCAGAATAGGACTTAAATAGTCCTCAGTTTCCCTACCAATAAATATGAATTACTTCTTTACCTGATTGGGGGGACTGATTAAGATGCCATATGTAAAGAATTTATTTAATGAAATGCCAGTGTGGTTATTTTTTAAGATTCTAGCTGGGGCTGGGGCGTGGTGGCTCAAGTCTGTAATCCTAGCACTTTGGGAGCCCGAGGCAGGCAGATCACTTGAGGTCAGGAGTTCAAAACTAGCCTGGCCAACATGGTGAAACCTCATCTCTACTAAAAATACAAAGAATTAGCAGGGCATGATGGTGCATGCCTATAATCCCAGCTACTCAAGAGGCTGAGGCAGGAGACTAGCTTGAACCCGGGAGGTGGAGGTTGCAGTGACCCAAGACTGTGCCACTGCACTCCAGCCTGGGCAAGAGAATGAGACTTTGTCTATTGGAAAAAATAAAAAGAAAGAAAGAAAGAAAAAAAAGATTCTAACCAGGCATGATGGCTCACGCCTGTAATCCCAGCACTTTTGGAGGTCGAGGCAGGCAGATCACTTGAAGTCAGGAGCCAGACTCTGTCTCAAACAAAACAAAAAGATTCTAAAGATTTAAAAACATAAGACCGGGTGTGGTGGCTCACACCTGTAATCCCAGCACTTTGGGAAACTACGGTGGCAGGACTGCTTGAACCCAGGAGTCGGAGACTACCCTGGGCAACATAGTGAGATCTCATCTCCACAATAAAATAAACAGGTGGCATGCCCTGGTAGTCTACTTGGAAGGCTGGGGTGGGAGAATCACTTGAGTCCAAGCAGTTGAGGGGCTGCAATGAGCCACGCTGCACCACTGCACTGCAGCCTGGGCCACAGGTGAAACCGTCTCTAAAAAATACAGTAGTTATCTGTGTGATTTCAGCATAGCAAGATTTGGAGTGATAAGTTATTCTTTATGCCATTCTAAATAAAACAATGAGTATACATTTCTTTAAAGTAGTGCTCTTAAACTTTCATTATCGCCCTAAGGAGACCTTTCAGACATCTGTTTCCCAACTGCCCCCCACTCCATAAAATTTTAATACTGCAGATAAACTATAAATCTGTTTATGCACTCTAGCCTTTTCGCAGGCCACAAATGACTGATAAGGTATAAGATTCCTTCACTCTGTAAGAAGCAACTTTTACCCCCTTGAGAATGATAACATCAGTCCTGCTGAGAATTCATGCTTCAAAAAACAGGAAAGTTAAAGGGAATGAAAAAGACAAAGCACAAGTGAAGACAAGGGCCCCTTGTCTTTGTCCTTACTCAGCTGTCAAAAATATTTTAAATGATAAAAGCTTTAAGAATTTTCTCTCTCATGAAAACTTTTGGAGTTATACCCAACCCTAGGTAACTACTACTAAAAATCCCAAATGAAGCTTACCTTGGATTCTAGTAAATTGAAGTCTTTTCCTTACCTTTTCCTCCACTAGCAAGTAGTTAATATTTAAAGAGAATATTAGAATAAATGCTCAATTTAAATAAACAAAACTGGAATCGACTAGACTATCTACATACAAATTTTACAGCAACATATAGGACAAAAGTATGTCTTTTAACTTCCAGATTCCTTTTCTTTAGGATCTTGAAGTCTTTAACAAGAGACACACACATCCCACTCAACCAGGAATGGAAAGGAGCCCCTCCTTCTCACCCCACCATAATCATGCACCGAGTTGAAAGTGGACCATATATAAAATCATATATAAATTAGACATCTTTCTGAAACTGAAATAGTAAAATTACCGATTACTGGAGCAGGAGGTGCTTGGACCAGAGCTGTTTTATTCCAGGGACCTGAAGATTTTTCCATACCTCCACCACCACCTCCACCTTCTTCCCAGTTATCACCTGGATCTTGTCTCTTTTCATTATCATCTTCTTCCTTTTCACTGTTGGAAAAGCAAACATGTAAATTCATTAAGGAACCACCAAGAAAATTTTCAGTCCAAATCCTTAGTTTTATCCATGATTATCTGTACAACCCTGTAATCCCAGGACTTTGGGAGGCCAAGGTGGATGGATCACCTGAGGTCAGGAGTTCAAGACCAGGCTGGGCAACGTGGCGAAACCCATCTGTACTAAAAATACAAAAATTAGCCAGGCATGGGGGCGCACCCCTGTAATCCCAGCTACTGGGGAAGCTGAGGCAGGAGAATCCCTTGAACCCGGAAGGCAGACGCTGCAGTGAGCTGAAATTGTGCCACTGCACTCCCTCCTGGGTGACAGAGCATGACTGTGTCTGGGGAAAAAAAAAAAAAAAAAAAACTGATGTGCCTCTGTGACAATATGCCTGATGGTTTACAGGACCCCACGTAAGAGCAGGACCCCAGTTACCGCCTCAAGCGACTAAGGGAGGGAAGAGAGGATGATACAACCCGAAATGCAGAGAAGAGAGTGAGCTGAAGGATTAAGAGCACGATTACAAAATTTTCCTTGCACCAAAGTGTACAAACAGGCATTTATGGTAAGCATATTTTTAGTGACAAATGAAGGGTTTTGAAAGTTGTATAATTTTATTTGCCAATCCTTTAGCACATGTAACAAAATGCTCTCAGAATCAGAATTCACATTCCAGCAGATGAAAACAAATATGTGCCGTGTTTACAAAGGATAGAACTAGCCCCTAACATCAGACATGTATTTATCACCTGTTTAAAAAAATATGTAAGAGCTCAGTCTTCGGCTTTCCAGATGTTATAAATGGAAAAGATACCCTCAGTGGTAACATACCATCTTAAGACTGCTTGCAGTATTTTCTTAATGCTAATTAATTTATTCTTGAATTGACTTGAGTCATAATCTATTTCTCCTAGGCATCTTTGATTATTTCTCTTTTTGTCGGATTACTTTTTATTATTTTATGTACCTTTACATGTCCTAAATTGCCAAGTGTATATATTTTTGCCTCTTGACAAACGGGATACTGACCACAGGGATATTAAAGCAAAATAATGGCTAAATCAAACGTCCTTTCTGCAGCTCTTCACGTTGAAGATACACCTGGTAGAAGATACTCAACTACCAACCTTTTCATAAAATTATTTTTCATGACAATGGTGGCTTTTCCTAGGTCTTCAAGCTTCTCAACTCCTTCATCATTTTACATTTTCCCCACCTTCCTATAAAAAAAGGTTGGTTCCCAAAACTCTGTCCCTGGTCTTCCACTTACCACCCTGCCTCTCTTGACTGTGTAACCTTGGGAACATCACAGCCTCTCTTGGCTTCTGCAAAAGGATATCTAAGGATGCTTTCCTTCCATTTCTATTAAAACAAGACACGAGCTGGCTATTACGACCAGCTTGACAGTCTCCTTTAAAGATACTTAGAAAAAAATAAAGTGGCACTTTGGGAGGCTGAGGCAGGCGGCCACGAGGTCAGGAGATCAAGCCCATGGTGAAACTCTGTCGCTACCAAAAAAAAAAAAAAAAAAAAATATATATATATATATATATATATATAAAATTAGCTGGGCGTGGTGGCAGACGCCTGTAGTCCCAGCTACTTGGGAGGCTGAGGCAGAATGGCGTGAACCCGGGAGGCGGAGCTTGCAGTAAGCTGAGATCGCACCACTGCACTCCCGCCTGGGTGACAGAGCGAGACTCCAACTCAAAAAAAAAAGTGGCAAAATGCCATTCAAAAATAATGGCACTGGCTGGCATGGTGGTTCACACCTGTAATCCCAGCACTTCGGGAGGCCGAGGTAGGTGGATCACCTGAGGTCAGGAGTTCGAGACCAGCCTGGCCAATATGGCAAAACCCTGTCTCTACTAAAAACACAAAAATTAGCTGGGTGTGGTGGCATATGCCTGTAATCTCAGCTACTTGCGAGGCTGAGGCAGGAGAATTGGTTGAACCCAGGAGACAGAGGCTGTAGTGGGCCGAGATTGCACCACTGCACTCCAGCCTGGGTGACAGAGCGAGACCTCGTGTCAAAAATAAAAAATAAAAAATGGCAGCATTGTATGAATTACCTACCAATCAGAGGTAACTGCAGAATTTAGAGGCTGGAGTGGCAATAAGGAAGAGAGGGAAAAGAAGAATAGATCTATCTCATCTACATTTACAGCAAGATTTTACTTACAACTTTATCTGAGAGGAAAAAGGATAGAGAATATGTCAATTCATCCCTGAGAGATCTGAGAAAGAAAAAAAAATGCAATTTAAAAGAAAGAAAAAATATAGCCAGGCCATCCCTCAGTTTTCCTTTTCATTAATTAACATGTAAGAGAATTCTATACCGCCATTTAAAATGTAAAACCTATGCTGACTTGGAGGTAGTATTCATGTCATACAAACCAAAAATTCACTAAAACAACAGCTACATACCTAATATAAACACAAAGATATCTACAGCAATTTTAAAAGTTTGTATTACAGAGTAGCTCTGGGTGCTAGAATGTATGACTTTATCTTCTTCATGCAGCAAGCAATTAGGAGCAGATTCTAAAGTCAGGCTTCCTGGTTCAAATCCAGGCTCTGCCACTTACCAGTCAGGAAACTTTGAATATGGCACTAATTTCTTTATTCCTCAATTTCCTCTTATGTAAAATGGAGCTGACAAGCCCTTAATAATCAGCACTATTCACTGATTATTCCTAAGCAGAAGAGACTACAGATAATTCTTACATTTTATGCTGCTACATTTTTTCAAAAAATTTCTAAAAACAAACATATTACTTTTATAACCTACACACAAAAAATCGTTTTTTATTTTTAAAATTTTTTTAGAGACAGGGTCTTGCTCTGTCACCTAGGCTGGAGTACAGAGGCCCAATCTTAGCTCACTGTAAGCTTAAACTCCTGGGCTCAAGAGATACTCCCACCTCAGCCTCCCAAGTAAGGTAGAACTACAGGTGCAGACCACCATGACTGGCTAATTTTACTTTTCTACATTTTTTGTAGAGGCAGGGTCTTGCCCAGGCTGGTCGTGTACTCCTGGCCTCAAGTGATCCTCCTAACTCTGCCTCCCAAACGCCCAGCCTCACAGAAAGCTTTTAAATAAAAACTCCTATTTGGTCTGACGGAATAGTGACAGTATCTCAACTTGAAGTTTTCTTTTTTACTGTCTAGTGTCTAACATCTCCTTGCCCTTAGGGAAAAAATAAAAAAATTTAAAAACCACAAATTTAAAATACACCAACGTTACAAACTATTACCAAAAAATAAGCATAATCTGTTTAATTAGAGGGACTGTACATCAATAATAAAAGGCACAAGGAGAACAACTTAGTATTTTGGATTCTTGGCCAGGTATGGTGGCTCATGCCCATAATCCCAGCACTTTGGAAGGCCAAGGTGGGAGGATCATTTGAGGCCAGGAGTTCAAAACCAGCCTGAGCAACCTGGTGAGACCCTGTCTCTATTTTTTTTTTTTGAGATGGAGTTTCACTTCTGTTGCCCAGACTGAAGAGCAATGGCGTGATCTTGGCTCATTGCAACCTCCACCTCCTGGGTTCAAGCGATTCTCCTATCTCAGCCTGCCAAGTAGCTGCTTGCTCCATCATGCCCAGCAAAATTTTGTGTATTTAGTAGAGACAGGGTTTCACCATGTTGGCCAGACTGGTCTCAAACTCCTGACCTCAGGTAATTCATCCGCCTCAGCCTCCCAGAGTGCTGGGATTACAGGCGTGAGCCACTGTGCCCGGCCAAAAAAAATTTTTTTAATAAATATTTTGGGTTTTTCCAAATGTCTATCAATAATAGACTGGATAAAGAAAATGTAGCACATATACACCATGGAATACTATGCAGCCATAAAAAGGGAGGATGAGCTAATGTCCTTCGCAGGGACATGGATGAAGCTGGAAACCATCGTTCTCAGCAAACTATCACAAAGACAGAAAACCAAACACTGCATGTTCTCATCATAAGTGGGAGTTGAACAATGAGGACACACAGACACAGGGAGGGGAACATCACACACCAGGGTCTGCTGGGGGGTAGGGAGCTGGGGGAGGGATAGTGTTAGGAGAAATACCTAATGTAAATGACGAGTTGATGAGTGCAGCAAACCACCATCGCACATGTATACCTGTGTAACAAACCTGCATGTTGTGCACATGTACCCTAGAACTTAGCGTAATAATAATAAAAATAAATAAGTATTTTGGGTTAAGATTCTGAAATACTAAACTAAGCATGTGGACATTGTTTAGTCAAGACCCTTCATCAACCGAGCACGGTGGCTCACGCCTGTAATCCCAGCACTTTGGGAGGCAGAGGCGGGCAGATCACCGGAGGTCAGGAGTTCAAGACCAGCCTAACTAACATGGTGAAACCCTGTCTCTACTAAAAATACAAAAATCAGCTAGGCGTGGTGGCATATGCCTGTAATCCCAGCTATCTGGGAGGCTGAGGCAGGAAAATCGCTTGAACTTGGGAGGCGGAGGTTGCAGTGAGCAGAGATCATGCCATTGCACCCCAGCCTGGGTAACAAAAGCAAAAACTCTATCAAAAAAAAAAAAAAAAAAAGAATGACCAAGCCAAAAAAACTCTTCATCCAACAATGAGGAACTGAAGCCCAGAGATGCTTAGAGGGCTTGCCTAAATGCCAGTTAGCAGAGTAGAAATGATTTATATATTTTATTGCTTTTTCATATTTACATATTTCAGAAAGCATCAACTCTCCAAATGTCACAGCAGAACAAGAAACAAGTTCCAAACGGTTATTTCCACGGGAGATGGGCTGAAATTCAGTGTTTCATCCTAATATATAGCTTCTCATTAGCTAAATGTTATAAATAAACACTACGATACTGCTGTAAATTCATCACAATTCCACATACACAGTCTTAAATACATGTAAGCCTGTAAGGCACTACTGGTAGGGTGAGGAGAATAATGACGATACAAAAGGAAGATTTACTGAATATCTACTACGGCAGCCAGCATTCCACCCCACTGTACAAAGTTAAACCTCACAGTAACACTAAGGCAGGCAAGAGACCCATTGTATATATGTATGAGGAAACTTTAAGTACCTTCCCCAGGCCTACAGAGTAGCAGAGTCAAAACAGTGTGGGATTCCAGAGGCTATATTATTTCACATTACCTTTTAAATTCATTTTATCCTCTTTATAGCTCTAAGGTATGACGCAGAAATATTCTCTACTTTGAGATTTGAGAAATGCGTTTTCTTTAGTAAGGCTGATAGGATCACACATCCTGCAGCAGTATATTTATAAAGAATAGAACAGCCTTATCTCTCTACCTCGAGACTTGGGAATTTATACATCCTAACTCCCCTTCCCCAACACTAGGGGGAAGCAGCTAAAACAAGAATCAGACTGGACTGAGCTGCTGGAATACCGGGCATCTCACAGGTTTGTCCCTATTATACCTAGCACTGCTGCAACAGTAAACTGGCGAGATAAACATGGCCTGATCAGCTATGCCTGGCCTGGAGGCTTAAAATGTCACTGCACCTCATCCAAAGAAATCTTTCCGACCCATTCATGGATGATGAAATGTCTCTCCTCTGTCCCAGAGCACCTTGCACATCTCTTTGAAATTATCTACTGTCGTCTATTAGAGCATGACTTATTTCTACAACCAGAAAACCTCACAGCGTCTAGCAAAGTAGTCACGTATTTGCTAGAATAATCCACCTTGGATAACATAACCAGTTCTACCTAACAGGTTTAAGTCTAGATTTCTCACCAAAGTTTCTAGAAAACCACTGGGCTCCAAGAACTCAATTATTTACTGAAACGTGACAAACACTCAACACTGTATGCCTTCAAGAATTAAATCTTTCTAACATTCTCCCAAAAATCCATTTTAAAGATGGAAGTAGCTGGGCCTAGCAGCTCATGCCTGTGATTCCTGTACTTTGAGAAGATCACTTGAGGCCAGGAGTTTTGAGATCAGCCCAGGAACACAGTCCCCATCTACAGAAAAAAAGTAAGATTAGTCAGGGGTGGCAACTCACACCTGTAGCCCCAGCTACTTGGGAGGCTGAGGTGGGAGGATCACTTGAGCCCAGGAGTTCAAGACTACAGTGAGCTATGATCATGCCACTGCATTCCAACCGGGGTGACAAAGTGAGACTGTCTCAAAAATATAAAAAAATAAGAGATGAAAGAGGCCTACAGGGCCTACAAACAACCAAGAATCTAACTCAAGTGACAGGTTCCTTTATAACCACCTCAATGACTTCCTGCTCAAGAATTTGTCTATAATGGCATGCTCTTGAATAAGATTAACTTAGACACAAAATTGGACACGTTAAGTACCCTAGTATTAAATCTTGAGCTGGTTGGTAAATGTGAAATAGGATCTTAATATATAGTATGTTTGCTGCTAATGAAAACTTTTCCCTTTCAGTACAGGTAAAGGCCTAACATGCTAACTACTATAAGGACCAGTGTCAAGAACTTTAAGATTGTATGTGACATCTGGCTGGGCTCAGAGGCTCATGCCTGTGATTCCAGCACTTTGGAAGGCCGAGGCAGGCGGATCACCTGAGGTCAGGAGTTCGAGACCAGCCTGACCAATAGGAAGAAACTCCGTCTGTACTAAAAATACAAAATTCGCCGGGTGCGGTGACAAATGCCTGTAATCCCAGCTACTCAGGAGGCTGAGGCATTAGAATCGCTTGAACCCAGGGGTTGGAGGTTGTGGTGAGCTTAGATCATGCCACTGTACTCCAGCCTGGGCAACAAGAGCAAAACTGTTTCAAAAAAAAAAAAAGACTGACGGTGACATCTGCAGCTAACTCTCAGTATATTGAGAAAGAGAGTAAGATAAAGCACATGTAGCAGAGATTGGTGGACGAGCATATGGGAAAGAGAGTTTCTCAGCGTTGCAGGTTAGTGGGATACCTCTACTAGGATGGCCACTTCAGGCCAATAACTAGATGTTAAGAAACCAAAAGACAATATAAAAGCTACTCTACTTCAGGTTGAGCAGAACTTAAATGCTTGTACTAGCTGATACTTATATCCCTGGCAAGGGTGAAGTATATAAGTTATTTAAGACACTTTTCACGATCTCAAGAGTAACCAAAATAGATCAAGACCAAAATAACCCTGAAGATGAACATGTAACTTATAGTCAATAACAGAAAAAACACAGGTTCTGTTTAAATAATATCCATAGTTTAATAAAATCAATTTCTAATCGTCAGTGAACTTGAAACCAAAATTTTATCTTCAGTAAAGTGCTACTTTTGCCAAGTTCGACATGGCCAAACACTATTCTTACAGTCACTCACGTTTTCAAGAACCTGCAGTCACTTAGGAAAGAAAAGACTTAAGAGCCAAATTTTACAACAGAACAGGAGCCACACACACAGGTAGTTCCACAACCCCAAATGGTAAGAACCTCACATCCGCTCCTCCCCCATTCTTTACAGGTCAAGCCCCAGGAGACAGAAAAGATGAAGATACATGAAGAAAGCCAACAAGTGGTTGGGAATCAAACTTAAGTCTAATCACTTCTACTCAACACCACTACAAAGAAATCTCAAGAGTGGAGAAGCTACCGTTCCTGAAAGTTTCCCATTATCAGTCGGGGGTTTCACTTTGGCTAAGCTCACAAAATGATGTTTTCACAGGACATTAATGCCTAGCTGTGGTAGGTATTCAACAAATTATTAACACTGCTTTTTGAAAAAGTTATCTAAAGCTATAGATACTAACATCCAGAGAGGTCAAAAGACAGTTTTCAGTTAAGGAAAGTATTTCCTCCACTGTGCCTCGCACTCACTGGCATTGCCTATAAAATGCAAGCTTCAAACTGGAGACAGTTTATCAAAATCCTTTTTTCTTTAAACTGGGAGCAAAGGATTTTTTAATCTTAAAGCAGATTCATATCTTCACTTGTTTTTTTTCCTACTTTATGAACCCTCCAAAATATGGCACTTAGCATCAAAGTTGACTGCCACAGACTGGACTTAACAAAATGTTAATTTCAAATCTTCTAAACTACCCAATTTTTAAAAATTACTGTTTTCTTGAGCTTTAAAAAATAACATGTTTACATATATAATTCCATTCCTATTAAGTTTTAGAAAAAATTATGGATAGTGGTTGTGTTGAAGGTGAATGCAGTGAGTAGGTGTTAGGAGGCGAACCTTGTTCTGTATTAGTAATACTCAAGTTTCTTGACCTGCGTACTTACTGCACAGGTTGGTAGCGCTGTGTGAACACATGAAACCTCTCTCTCTCTTTAAGTATGATATACTTCAAATACAAAAATACATTCACTTGCTTATTGGAGAGGATGTGAAAAAATCCACATTATTTTTGAAACCAAAACTAAGTACAATCACCGATGTTAACAGTGAAAATTCTGAAGTGAGAAAATCCATTTTAGCTGTCTCAAATGAAAAGGCCTCACCAGAACTGGAAGTAGGCAAGCTCTCACAGGATTTTAGAGTCAGTAGCTAATTTGATGAGCACACGGAAGGGCTGCCTTCACGGAGTGAGAAAGAGTAGACAGAACCCATTTGAGTCCTAATAAGCATATCTAGAGCACAAGGCTACTATGATGCTGCTTTGGGGCCAAAGGAAAACCTAACTTGTATCCAATATCTGTCCTAAAAGTTACCTAAACACATTTGTAACCAGACCATACCTTATTTGCATTGCCTGAACCCTGAGGCCGCTGTAATCAACCTCTTTTTGCTCCAATTCTTTCCACTCATCTTCGTCCTGTAAAACAAACGCCATTTGATCAATTAAAGCTATTTGCAGACATATAACTAAGCAAATAACACACTACGAAAAGTGGATCAAGTGGCTGGAACCTAAACTGAGTAGGCACTTATATACCGGTCAAAGCCCTTGCTTCGTTCTGGGGCAAACTAGGCTACATGGAGGACAAACATGCTCGTAGGCTAACACTGTACTTCCGCTGGGTTCCTGCATGAGAGCTGTTACTTTAAGCAACTAAGAAAAGCCGAAGGAAGAAGTCAGTAGGAATTTCACAACTACATTTCTACCCCAACCTTGCCACCGAGACTTTTCTTTTTCTTTCACGGGCTTAGAGACTAAGTCATCACAAAAGAGCTGCTACAAATGCGGCTGCTGAAAGCGAAAATTCAGCTCAAAGTACTGGGCTGAGGTCAGCACACGGAATTACTCAGCCTAGACGTCACCCAATAAACGCTGCTCTGTGCTGGGCGCTGCGGCCCCAGACCTAGTGCCCCTGGAGGGTGGCGCCGCCCGGGCCCTGGCTAACGCCGAGCGACGCGGGGTGAGAAGGGCGGCTCCAGGGCGGGTGTCGGAAGGGGTCCCGGCCCAGGCGAGCCCTGCCCGAAGTGGGGAGCCTGCGTCACGTGGCGGCCCTCGCCCGTCCGCCCGGCCCCCGCGGCCCCTCCCGGACGCTTCCCCGGCAGGCGGGGGCGGGCACATGGGGCGCCGGCGCGCGGCCCGGGCCCCGAGTGCCGGCCTCCCGGCCCCTCACCTTCGTCACAGCCTTGGTGGCGGCCCCCGGGCCCGCAGTCCCCGCGCTCGCGGTCCCGCCGTCGCCCGGCCGGGTCCCCGTGCCCGCCCCGCCGCCAGCCGCACCCGCGGCTCCACTGCTTCCGCCGGCGCTGCCCGCTGCACCCGCGGCACTCGCCGCCCGGTTGCTCCGCTCCTTCTTCTTCTTCTTGTCCCTCTTGGCAAAGAAGTTGTCCAGGCTCCGCTCCTCCGTCTCGGCCATGGCCTCGGCCTCCTCGACCCGGATGGGTGGGGCCGGCGGCGGGCGCGGCCCGCGGGGCTCCGAGCTCGGGGTCGGGGCCGGCTCTGCGATCACGCTGCCGGGCGCGGCGACGCCTCAGCCCCGCGGGGTCGCCGAGGCGTGCGCTGTGAGGCGGGCGGCTCCCCCTGCGTGCTGGCGAGCGGTGGTACGGTCCGCCTGGGGGCTCGCGCGCCGCCGCCGTCGCCCGAGGCTGCCGGGGCTGCCGCTGCTGCTGCGGCGGCGGAGCAGGATCCCGCTCTCCCCACAACCTGAGGGGAAAAGGCACGCGCGAGCCAAAGGCTCTGGCTAGAGTGCTCGGCTAGCGGCGGCGCGTGCCGGAGGAAGACGCGCGGGCGCAGACCCGGAGAGGAGGGGAAGGGGGTGGGGAGGGGAGGGAGGGGGAGGAGGGAGGGCGGGCCGCTAGAAGAGAGAGGCAGCGCCTGCGCCTGCGTACTTTGCTCTGCCTGCCGCTGTGGGATCGCCAAGGGGCGGGCGGCGGGTGGAGATGGAGGCGGAGCTGGAAAGAGAGCCAATCAGGTGCCAGGACGAAGCGCTTAGGTGACAATCCGTGACCCAGACGGGGCGGAGTCCAGGAATGGGGGCGGGGAGAGGAGGGCATATGCAAAATAAGTGACGTGCCTGACGATTCCGGTTTCCCGATTGGCGGAGGGTTTAGTCTTGAGGGCGGGCATTTTGAGGGCTGGTTGATGACTTGGCTAAAGAGGTCCAGCAGGAGGGGCAGTGGGTTCCTTTTGGGCGCATGCGCAGGATGCACGTGTGTTTCCTGGCCCGGAACAAACCGTGGCCCCATAGTAGTCGTATGAACTTTGGCGAAACGGAGAGGCACTGCGTTAAGCCAACTGTGTTAAAGATTGTTCCTCTCCTCTGATCGTTTCTGTACTTCCACCCTCTCTGGTGTGGCAACCATTACTTTTTTTCTTTACAGGTTGATTGTGAAAGTGAGAGGAGCAGTGATCCTGAAGTTTGGGTCCCATTTATTAAAAGATCTTTCATAGGCCGGTTGGTAGGTAGGGATTTTGTCTGAACTCTACCCTCTGGATTATGTTTACCAAGCTCAAGTTCAATAAATTCTATCTTCAAGTCCCTAATCTGTAAAGTGGGTATACTAGCTCTTACAAGATACGGGGGAGGAAGGGAAGAGAATCAGCATTAGCTCCCCACCACATTGCTTAACGTCCTGACTTGAGTCTAGATGATGATGCAGTTTATCCTTAGCTTCTATCCCTGATAAAAGGAGGAGACTGTCTTATCATAGGGGTGGAGACCAAAATGCCCAGGCGAAAGCCCGGTTTAAATGGGTTTAAAGCCCATTTAAATACTCTTGGGGCCTTGAAAATGAAATGAATTCTATATGCAAAAGGTGGTCTAAAGTAAGCTCTTAAACTTTCTACTTCCTCCTTCTAAAAGCAGGAGAAGGAGCTGTCACAACCACTGAGGAAATGACTCAGACAAATGTTGGTAGCCCTATGGGGTAGATAGAACTCAGCCAGTAAATGGAGTGACTTCTTCGCCTTTTCCTTTACAGTTACCCCATTAAAGTTTCTCTTTTCCTACCCCCTACTTACACTGCTATTAAAGAACTAACTAATGGCTGAGCGCGGTGGCTCACACCTCTAATCCCAGCACTTTGGGAGGCTGAGGCAGGCGGATTACCTGAAGTCAGGAGTTCGAGACCAACCTGACCAAAATAATAAAACCCCATGTCTACTAAAAATACAAAAATTAGCCGGGCGTGGTGGCTAATGCCTGTAATCCCAGCTACTCGGGAGGCTGAGGCAGGAGAATTGCTTGAACCTGGGGGGCACGGAAGTTGCAGTGAGCCGAGATCGCGCCATTGCACTCCAGCCTGGGCAACAACAGCGGAACTCCGTCTAAACAAAAAAAAGAAAAATAATCTAACTTCTGAACGTCAAATAAATCAAGGACCTAGCCTTGGCCAGCAAGTAGCTTGAGCTTACACATATACTATTCCTCAAACATAAACAGCTGCCAAGGTGACTTCCTTCTATGACAACATGTATCTTCCTGTGATGCAGGTCAGGTTTAGTACTGCCCATCACCGTTACCCTCCCTTACCATGGCTAATCAAATTCATTTCCTTTCTTTTTTTTCTTTCCTTCTTTCTTTCTCCCTTCCTATTTTCTTCCTTCCCCCTCTTTCCTCCTTCCTCCCTCCCTGTCTTTCATTTATTTATTTGTTTACTTACTTATTTTTTGAGACAAAATCTTGCTCTTGTCACCAGGCTGGAGTGCAATGGCACGATCTCGGCTCACTGCAACCTCTGCCTCCCAGGATCAAGCGATTCTCCTGCCTTAGCCTCCCGAGTAGCTGGGATTACAGGTGCCCACCACCACACCCAGCTAATTTTTGTATTTTTAGTACAGACGGGGTTTCACCATGTTGGCCAGGCTGGTCTCGAACTCCTGACCCTCGTGATCCACCTGCCTCGGCCTCCCAAAGTGTTGGGATTACAGGTGTGAGTCACCACACCCAGCCCCCTCCCTCTCTTTCTTTCCTCTTCTATGAAGCACTTATTTAGCTATATTTAGGGCAAAGAGCTTTATTCAAAAGTGAGTAATTTGTGATTCCTGCCTTCAATTCCCTTATAATCTGGAAGAGAAGATCTAGGTATAAATGAGTTTCAGTTATTTATATATTTCTTAAGTCCTTATCAATTCATCGTCTTGAAAGAATTAATGACTTGAGAAAATACACAGAAGGAACAGTCGTTGAGGGCTGACACTGCAGAATTTCCCACTACATTTTTCAGTGTGATTGATGGCATGCTCCCAGAACTTGATCATGTGTAAGAAATTCAGGTCAGGCCAGTAGAGAGAACAGCGTCTTTGTGGTTGTGTCATTGTTTGTAGTAATTCTCTCCTCTGTGAAGCTAGTCCCTTACTCTTTGAATCACCTGCCCTAAAATTGACAGCATCTGTTCCCACCAGTTGCTCCTTTTAAATCTCCCCTGCCAGCCTCCTCCAGATTGGTTGCCCAGTGCCCTGAATCCTGCTATCATTGTCATCATCACCAGGCACCCCCTCATCTTTGAAACATCCTTCTGCCCTCCCTCTCTCTCTCTCTTTTTCTTTCTTTTTCTTTTTAAGAGGCGAGGCTCAAGCAATCATCTGGCTTCAGCCTCTCCAGAGTAGCTGGGACTACAGGCAGGCGCCATCATGCACAGCTAATTTTTTTTTTTAAATATTTTTAGAGAAAGGGATCTTGCTATGTTGCCCAGGCTGGTCTGGAACTCCTGGGCTCAATTGATCCTGCTTCCTTGGCCTCCTGAGTAGCTGGGATCACAAGCAGGAGCCACCATGCCCGGCTCCTCCAGTTCTCTCTTGACGGAGGTGTCTTCCCGTCTGCCGTCCAATGTGTTTGGACCGTCTGCATCCTTAAAGCAAACAGACCTTCACTTGTACTTGCCAGATGGAAAAGTTGAATAGTAATGCGGACTATTCCCAGGTATTTCTGCACATCTTCCAAGGTTCCTAATGCTGTCTGAACACGGCAGTTTCCCTCCGGGTCCTCTGAAGTGGTACAATCTGAAGGACATCATGTATCTCCCTCAACAAGGACCGCTGAGCTCCAATATTCCATGAGCTCAAGAGCTGGCAAAGGGCAGTTGAGCCCAGCCCCATTGTTTCTGGGTTCTTTTCTGCTGAGCTATTTGTTCCAAGTTCCATTCTGCTACCTAGGCTGGAAATTCCACTCATGCTCAGCTCAAAGGAATGCAGCTCATGCTGGCCAAAGTGCTCACCAGGAAATGGGTGGCTAGAATTCTTCTTTTCATTCCTGGCTTCCTCTCTAACATCTGTAAGGCCAACTATGTCACTGCCTGAACTGTTCCTCCTTTCAACTGGGGAGCAACTACTTACAAGTCATCTCTTCTGGGACTCTCTTCTTATTCTCTACAGGCAGCTTGATTCCCTAAACTTCAGAGGCCCAGAGTCTTCATTTGGTATGATAGTTGATGCCTTCCTGGTAGTTGCATGATTGGTTTTTTATTTAACCACTCTCATTCACTTACTTATATAAAACATGTATTTAATGAGCATCTACTATATGCCAGGCCCTATGTTAGGAGTTAAATGAGAGATAAGCCCTACCTTCACAAAGCTTATTGTACGCCAAGCTGGTAACTAGAAGGAGATACACAGGTACACCTACAATAGCACATTGAAAACTCTTGAAGGTAGGAATGGCATTGAGCATATAGCCTATATCACCCAAGCATTTAACTGATGTTTATAAAATGAAAAATGTCTCCATTAATCTCCAGTTTTCCACATTAACAGAGGACTGCACAAACCATGGACTCTAAAAGTGTTTCCTTGTTGGCTTATGAGCATAGGCTAACTCTGCCACATATAACAAATAATTCAACCTTCTCCCTCAACCTCAAGTTCCTCCTTAGCTCATTTTTGACATCAGGGCCCTAGTTGGAGGATACATGGACAGCAAGAGGAGGCCCCAGACACCAGTGACTATCCAGGAGAGCTTATTTCCAGAAAGAGGAAAGGGCTGCCATATACCCCCCTCTCCTAGACACAGACACATACACACACATATACCCACCACAATGGCTTGAGAAGGCAGTCAGACTCATTAACCCCACCCCCAGTGGGTCTGGTTTGCTGACTGTTGAACCACATAAAATTGCTGCTATTTGACTGTTTTTGACCTGCCAAAAACAATCATTTCAAAAGGTTAAACCTAACATATTAGAAAATAAACCAAAAAGTTCTGTAAATGAATGAAGAGCTTGGGAAAAATGAACCTATCCATCAAGGTGACCTCCTCGAGCATCTCAGTGAGGGAAGGGCTGCAATGTGGTGACAATTGAATGATCAGCAACCGAATCGACTTTATTGTGTGGAGAATGTGTGAACTGAAGGATGAGGGAAGAGGCTGGAGAATAGAAAGAGGAAGGAAAAAGAAGTAGGATAAAGCCATGAGGCCAGAAGTTGGCACTTAT